CCTCGCGCCCACCCCCACGCCGGGGCGGCGGCCGCCCCGCCCGGGCCAAGTGACCCAGCCGGCGGTGTAGACCGGCTGGACGGCCGACGGCCTGAGCATGGCGCGCTCCGTGCTCTCTGCGCCCGGGCCTCGCTCCGCTGGGGGAACCCGGCCAGGTCCGGGCTCTCCAGTCCGACGGGCCTGGACGTCTACCTGCTCCTGGCCTTCATCTCTTCTCTTCAGGCCCTTGTCCAGCTCCTCCTTTTCCTTTTCCTCCTGACCTGAGCATCGTTCCTGACTCAGCCTCACTCATGGATGCCGCCAAAGTAATGTGCGCTCTGAAGACAGCGCCTCTCGGTTCCCCATCTGCCGGCTTACGCGGGGGCGTAGGGCACCTCAGGGCACCATGCCAGTCTGTGTTTAGCAATCCTCGACGCCCAGAGTCCTGGCAGCTCCTTGCCGAGGCAGCAGACGCCCCGAGGCTGCCACCGTCCAGGGGCACAGCCCTCTTGAAGATCCCTCGAGTCCCTGCAGGGGGCGAGGGCGGGAGTCCCCTTGTTTAACTTATGGAGGTGTGTGGCCAATTAGGGTTTGTTTGCGGGGCACGCAAGAGGCCTAGATATTTAGGGGGATCACAGACCCCCTGCCTCCCTGCTGGAGTTCCTGCCTCCTCTCAGCCTCCTCAGTCTCTTCCTTGAAACCCTTCCTGCCTCTTGGTTCCTCTCTCTGTAGAGATCGCTTGCTTCTTATCCTGTGCAAGCCCTGTGATTTGTTTCTCATTTTTATTTATTTGGGGGTACTGGGGATTAAACCATGGACCTTCACTGCTACATACCGCCCCCAGTTCTTTTCTTCTTCTTCTTCTTCTTCTTCTTCTTCTTCTTCTTCTTCTTCTTCTTCTTCTTCTTCTTCTTCTTCTCTCTCTCTCTCTCTCTCTCTCTCTCTCTCTCTCTCTCTCTCTCTCTCTCTCTCTCTCTCATTTTTGAAGGAGGGTCTTGTTAAAATGTCCAGGCTGGGTTTAAACTTCGTTTTTTAAATAGTAATTTAGTATAATTTCCAAGAGATTGCTTTTTAGGAGGGGATATTGGGAATTGAACTCAGGACCCTATGCTTGCCAGGCAGGTGCATGTGCCAGGGAGCTGGGTTTGAACTTTGAATCCTCCTCCTTCTGCCTCCCAGAGTGCTAGGATTACAGGAGTGTGCGTGCCGCATCCAGCTTTCTCCATCTTTTTGTCTCTCTCTCTTCCAGTCTCTTCCCTGCTTTGTCCCCCCCCCCCTTGGCCTCTCTGCCTTTGTCATTTCAGACTCTCAGTCTGTGAAATTTTCCTCCCTCAATCTCTGTCTGCCTTAAATGTTCTCATTTTTTTCCCTTTTCTTTTATAGTCTTAGCCTCTCTGTCTGCATTCATGTTTCTGTATGCTCTGTAATTCATCTTTCCTCTTTCTCTTTTAATACTTTACATCAGTCCATTATTGCAGGGCATGATCCCTCCTGTGGAGCTGGCACACCTACATAACCTATCTTAATTCTTTCTCATCTTCTTCCCCTTACTCCCTCTTTTAATTTTTGTGTCTGTCTATGTTTTTGTCTATTTCTAACTTTCTGCACCAGCATCTCTTACGCTTAGTGGTTTTCCATTCTCCTGAAATCAAGTCCTTCAGTTGTGGGACAGGGCAGCTCCTCCCACCCCTGTCTTTGTCCCTTCCCTCTGAACTCCCAGTCCCTGTCCCCATCCATTTTCCCATCCTCAGGTTTAGCACGTGGAAAATGAGTCTGGAAGGCTCCCAGAGACCACCCTCAGGGTTCTGAAAGGAGCCGAGGCTCTCTCCTGCTATCACCACCGGTTGCTTAAGAAGCACTTAGCACACTTCTGGCAATGTTACTAGTTTACAGTGCCTCATGGGTTCAAGCCCTAGGCTGCTGCTGAGGTAGAGAACAGGTGCCTCCTTCGGTCAGTCTGCCAGGCAGAGACCCGAAGGGAGGAGCAAGGACCTGGAAGAGCCGCTCTGGGCTCCACAGCAGCTAAGAGGCCAAAGCAAACAGGGGCTTAAGAAACCCTGCCATTGTTCCTGCTCTGCTCTGGCATTTCCTGCTGGAGCAGCTCCTCCTCCACTTCTCTCCTGAGGCAGAAGGGCTGTCTGTCCTTTCTCCCAAGGCCCCACTGCCAGCAAGGCATAGCCGCTATACACAGGATTTCCTGCAGGGTGGCCTTTGTGGCTGAACTCGCCTCCAGTGCGCACCCTTCCATCTTCTTTTCCATCCTCTCCCAGGAACTGTCTTCCTGAGCCCACAGGTCTCCAACCCAATGGACTTGGATCGAGCAGGACTCAGAAGTGTCCACAAGAGTCTGAGTTGTAGAGGGAAGCATCTACCTGAGGATTTGAGCTCAGTCCTTTCCAGCTAGTGCAGGATTAGAAAGCCCAGAAACTTGTTCAGGCCATTTTATAGATGCAGAACGTCATCTGTACAATTATAGACCATAACTGGCCTCTACCATGTGGATTAACTTCAACCTACCTAGCTAAGGAACCAACTCAGAGGTTAGTGGCCCATGATCACAGTGACCTGGGAGGGGAAGCACAGGTTTCCATGCTGACTTGGTCCCTGGGGGTGGACCAGTGAGGACAAAACCTAGGCCTGTAGGTGAAGGTGCTTCTTTCTTTCTAGCCGTCTCGGTGACTCTGCTCCCAGGGTGGTACAAGAAACTCCCAGAGGCATTATGTCCTAGAATTGTCTCCACTGAGCACTCGAGATCCTGCTTGCCAGCTTCGGAGCAATGCCTCCCTGGGACCTTCCCCACTGGGAGAGCTGCACTCTCTCTAGGAGAGCCCTTCCCCTCCTCTTCTCAGATAAGGACCTTTGGATTCCCTAGGGGAAACTGAGGGCTGGGGTAGCAATGGTAAGGTGTTTAGTCTCTTTTCTATAAATGTTTATTTTTTTTAAATTTATTTATTTATGGGGGGGCAGCTCAGCCCACCAGGGGGCGGGGCTGGCTGGCATGTGGTGCTGGGGGATTGAACCATGGTCCCTTTGCTTTGCTAAGCTTGTTCTAAGTAGGTGCTTTCGACCACTGAGCCATCTCACCAGCCGTAGTCTCTTTTCTAGTACCTGAATTTTATCATTTCCAAGTTGTGGAAGAAACAGTCCTTATTGATTGATAAATGAGCATTTATTGAGTGCTTTCTATATGTAGAGCTTCTAGTAAGATACAGACCAAGGCTGGAAGACAGATAGCAAAGGGCCCTCCAGCACCTGGAAGGTGCTCTGCCCGGAAGGGCTTCCAGTCTAGCTAGAAGACATTAAATATACACAAAATCACAACTCTGACATATAAAACATCGAGGCAACTTTTGTGGGTACCAGATCATTTGGCACGAAGTGGGAACATGGAGAAGGCCGGTGTGTGGACCCAGCGGTCAGTCACTTCCTCCTCTCAGCTCAGAACCTTGCTAGTTCCAGTTCAAGGACCTGAGATCTGTCTCCCTGCTGTCTCACCTCTGTCCGGTGACTTATGTCTGACCTTCCTGGGTGGCCCCCAAAGGCAGAAGCCAGCCCTGTGTCTCTTGTCACTTCCTGCCTACCTTGTCTCTCCACCAGGCTCTGTGTCCACTCCCAGGCAGTGGCCTGGCGGGGCTGAGCTGGACAGGCCCAGTTGAGTGCTCTGGTTTCTTCCAAGGGCTCCCAGGAGCAGGCTAGGGATTTTCTAGGGAAAAGATTTTGGCCTTTCATAAGAAGAGCTGAGTTCAAGTCTTTGATCCAATGGTTGTGCATTATAGGCCAGTCTCTTACCCTGGGCTTGTGAATTTATAAGATAGGAAGAAGAGTTTTTACCTATTACACAAAATTGGGAAGCAATCACAGGGATGCTTAAAGGAGTGCTTTGGGAATAGTAAATCCTTGTCCTTCCAGACTGAAGTTTTAGGATGAGGTAAGCCAATGTGTGTAAAGCAAGCTGGATGGGGCAGCTCATGCCTATAATCTCAGCTCTCAGGAGGCTGAGGCAGGAGGATTGCCACAAGTTCAAGGCCAGCCTGGGCTATGTAGTTAGTTCAGGGGCAACCTGAAATATACAACAAGAGCCTGTCTTATAAAACAAAAAACAAACAAAAACAGTGTGTCAGGCAGACTATACACTGGTTGGCACTCAGATGCTCTGTAAGTGCCTCCTTCTCTCCACCCGTCAGTCGGAATCCTGCACTGACCTCTGAACCTAATCTGGGCAGTAGGGTCTAGAAGGAATGGGGAATCTCCCATTTATTTTTTTGGCAAGATGAAAGCTAGGAACTTGTACGCATACAAAGAGAGATTCTTGGTGCCTTGTTTGTTAGGATGCAGTGGGGTGTGGATGAGGTGCCTTGCCTCTGACCTTCTAGAGCAAGGAAACTTAGCTACCGGGAGAAAGGGGCTTGGGGGGAGTGTCCTCCCCACAGTAGCTGTGGCCCAGCAAGCCTTTTTCTAACTGCAACGAGACCTTTGGTCAAGGAAGACAGAAAAGAGCCTGCATGAGAGTGCGCAGCTGCCGTGGAGATGTCCTTATGCACAATCTATCTGCAAAGGAAAGCCACAGGGAGAGACAAGCACAGAGGGAATTTGGTAAGTGTGGGACGAACAGACAAAGGCCTTAAAAGCCTGGAGCAGCTGAGAACTTCGAGAAAGGGGCTTCGGGTATGATCCCGGGCTAGTTGTGCAGCAGGTTGGAGGGAGGAAGGGCCTGGATGCTGCAAGGAAGGGAAGAACCGCTGGTATGTGCAAGGTAACAAGAGGTTCAGAGCTGGCCAGGCAGGGGCTCCCAGGGCTGTCCTTCGCTTTGACCACCAACTAAAAGAAGGGAAGGAGGCTGAAGGTCAGGCCCCTTCTGCATCCTTCTCCCTCCTGAGGAAGCAGAAATAATGAGAATCATCCTAGTAATGTGTGCTACCAGTGTTAAGAATTCCTGTCCACTCAGCATTTCTACGCACACGGCCTCCGTCCTGTGTAGTCTCATTTGAGAACCATTGCACTGGCCTGGAGACATAGAAACCTGGGCTCTAGACTCAGATCTGCCAAAGGCAAGTCATTTCTTTTTCTGGTTCGCAGAGTTTACAATAAATGTTCAGTGTGGGAGCCAGAAGGGGTGTCCAACTTAAAGGGACTGTCTGGTTCTACTCCCAAGGAGAGAGGGAACAGAGATTTCTGGGGAGGAGGCTTGCTCCAGGACTGGACGATAGGACGATAGGACCGTGCTGGTGGCCGCTGCCTTGTGCTGTGGCTGCACACCTGAGTGCCCTGCCAGCCAGCCATAGGTGTGAGCTGGGCGAGAGGCTCACTTGCGAAACTGAGTGTCTCCTTTCAAGAAGTGTCTAGTTGCAAATCTCCCCCTCTCGAAGACAAAGGCCAGGGCCCCACAAAGAGCTTTTGTTTTCTCTACCCAAGAAGAAGGATAATCTGTGGGTCTGTCCTCTCCTCTGGATGGGGGTCTTGTGTGTGTGCATGCATGCCCATGTACACACACATGCACACACACAGGTGTGTATACCCATAAGTATGCTTTCCCTTTGAAGAGTCTTGCCTAAGGGCCAGAGGAAATTCTTGACCTCTCAGCCTTTCTTGCTTGCTTGCTTTCAACTTTTTGAGACAAGGTCCCTCCTGCCTCAGCCTCTTAAGTGCTGGAATTACAGGCATGCACCACCATGTCCAGCTAGGACAGGGTTTCACTATGCAGTTCAGGCTGGCCTCAAACTCAAAGCAATCCTCCTGTCTCAGCCTCCTGAGTGCTGGACTTACAGGTATGTGCCGCTACACCCAGCCTTAGCCCTCCTTTTTCCAAAGGCCATTTCTGAGGAAGCTGTTTCCTGGCTGATACTTCTCTGCCTCCACCAACGCATCAGGACAAGTCTTGAGGCCTGGTGCTTCAGCTTGGGGGAATTTTCCAGAAGGGACAAGGCAGGGGTTGGAATCAGGACCTTCCCTTCACACTCTCCTTTCCTCTTCTCCTGGGAGTGGCTGGCTCCAAGTATTCATCCTTTGCAGAGGAAGTGGATTTATTGAAGGTGTAGGAGGGGAGGAAGTTGAAGGTGGAGTGAGAGGTCCCAGCCCTGCACACCCACACCTCCATAGGCACACCAGTTCACACTCAAGCACATACAAACCCTGCAGTGGAGGACGGAGGAAAGTAAGGATGAATATACAGTAGCACACTAGCAAAATGCAGTGCACTATTTCCAGACCCCTAAGGCGGGGTCTCTATGCTTCTCACCCCAAAACCTGGCACAGGCTCTCCAGGCTTCCACTTCCTCTCACCTGCCCTCTCTCCCTCCCTCCCCAGCGCGGTCTCTATGTCCTCGGTCCGGACCGGAGGGTCACTGTCACAGCAGTGCACAGCCTCCAGGCAGGACATCGGTCAGGCTTACTGCTAGCCCCAGGCGCCCGTCCTGCCGCCCACAGCGCTGGCCCAGCAGCGCGCTCGCTCGTCCTGGAAGCAGCTGCTCTGCCCTGGGAGCCTGGGGAGAGGAGGGACGGGAGGGCGGCTGCGTCGCCTGGTCGGGCTCAGGCCTTGCTGCCGCGCGGCGGGCTCTGCGGCGAGTGCAGCTCCACCGACTGCCGCCGCCGCACCTCGCGCTCCTCCCAGTCGGCGTCCGGCTCCAGGCCCTTCAGCACTGCCAGACGCTCCGACAGGCTCTTGGCCGAGGGGAACAGCAGGTAGTTGTACAGGAGGGAACCCAGGATGGCGCCGACCAGGGGCCCGATCCAGAAGACCTGGGTGAGCGGAGAGAGCGAGAGAGCCCGTGCCACCGCGCACCGAGGCCACGGCGTACTGCGACGGGAGAGGGGTTTTCCCGCGAGACTAAAGCAATAAAATGCTTATTTGCAAAGTTAGCAATGGCAAGGGAGGCTGCAGAGGACCACTGTTGGTGTGGAGAGTGAGGGAGCGGGTTTTGGTTCCCTCACTTGCTGAGTGAGCCTGTCCTCACCTTTGTGCCCATTTCCTTTCATTCTAAATATTGCCTCCTAGTGTGGTGACACCAAAAGGAGTTGATGTTCAGAAAGAACTTAGAGCAGAGCCTAAGCACTCTAAGCACTGGGTTTTAAGTAATGAAAGTATGTTAGCTGTTATAAATACTATGGTTTACTGAGTTCTAAATGCTGGGTGCTCTGGTGTTTTACGCCAAGTAATCTTAGTTTTCTCAAGAAGCCAGTAAGGTAAGTAATGTCATCCTCACTTACAGCTGGGGACAGGGAAGGGAAATTGAGTCTTTGGTGCTAGCTCTGAAGGATGAAACCTAAGACCTAACAGGGCCCCAAGAGGAGGAGCGAGAGCTGCTGAGCCCCTTATCCTGTCTGTTCCAGCCTTTTCTCTCCCTCTGAAATGGGTTTTTAGGGAAGAGGAGAGCAGGGGTTTCAGCCCTTACCCAGTGGTCATCAAACTTGCCAGTGACAACAGCCGGGGCCAGTGAGCGGGCAGGATTCATGGAACAGCCTGTGTAGTAGATCTATGGTGGGAAGTGGGGTGTCAAAGAGAAAAAGGAGGTGAGGACAGGGTGGGGAGTCCTTGTCCCCCCTCTCCACTGCTGACCACAGCCTAAAGGCAACACATTTGATGGTCAGTTGACATTGTGATTTAGTTAGTGGATGCTGTATACATTTGGGACCAGAGAGGTATGTGTCACTTGAGAGTACCTGGGGGTCAGCACCTCTGGGTTGTGTGTCCCTCTTGGGAATTCTGCGTGTCTGTTTCTCCAAGGGTCTTAAACCTTCCTCTTTGGGAGTTCTATATGTATATCTCTAGAGTGGCCTCACTTCTGCTTCTTTGGTGAAGCTCTGTGTCTGTTCCTCAAAGGACAATGGAACCCATATCCATGACCTACCCCAAGAAGATGGCCCAGGGTCACGGAGAAGCCGATGGAGAGGGCAGGGCTGCCCAGGCTGTCCCCACGACGTTCATCGGTGGAGGCAAAGATGCAGAGCACCAGCTGCAGGGTCAAGAAGAGCTCCACAGTCACTGCCTGGCCAGCTGTAGTGTTGTGGTTGAGCTGGGGACGGAGAAGAGATGAGTGGGGGGCACCGATCTTGCTCTCCGCCCCACTCTGCCCACCTGTAGCTGGCTCAGGGGAGGCTGCTGGGCAGGGATCCAGAACACCTGGGCTTGCCAGACACCTTATCTGGCACTCCTGCAAATTCTTCCTGATGGACCCAAAGGGAAGCCCAGCCCTCCCCCAACCCCAGAGGTAAGAAAACTGGTCCTCAGCCATTTGATCTTGGGGCTGTGCCCCTGCAGCCTGAGAGGAAAACAGTGCCTGAATTCCGAATTGCAGTTCTGAAGAGGTTTCAACTTTATCAGGGTGATAACAGTGCTCCTTTCTCTAGGGAGACACTGAATGCAGGAGTCTGAAGGTCTTTCCTTCTGTGATCAAGTGTTCCCCAGGGCCAGGGGCCAGGGACTTGGGGGTGAGGGATGGCCTGGGTGTGTGCAGACCCACAAGCACAGCACACAGCGCTTCCCCTCACAGCTGCTGCTCCCCACTGCATCCCAGGCCTCCCCCAGTTTTGCCCAGTGGTTTGCTCTGAGATCTTTCTGGGGGTCAAACTTCCATTCTTCCAGTTGCTGTCCAGACCAGAACCTCTAAGGGACAGTGAAAAGAGCTTTGGAGGCAGATACTTTGGATGTCTCTGATTTGCTGTGGGGCCCTATTTACTTTGATCTCAGGTTCTTCCTACATAAAACGGGGATACCAAAACATTCTGGAGAGCTGTGTGAGGAACGGAAATGACAGGGGCTGTGGCAGCCCCATTCCTGTTGGTAAATGGCTGCTCAGAGGGGACAGCACGTACATTGCTAATTGCTTCTGTAGTTTGGAACTACTGAACCATGAGCCTCAACTTACCATTCAAGATGGGAGAATGGCCAAATTTACCTCATAGGGTTGTACCAAGGTGAGATAGTGTCTGGCCTGGCACAGGGCAGATGTAGATCAATGACAACTTTCTGGTGGCCAGACTGGCTCTCAGCATCTCTGGAGGACACCTGACACAGTTTGAGGGTCACCTGGCTTTCCTTAGCCTCATGGGAAGCCAGCCCACTGCTGCACCATCCCAATCAGGCAGGGTTCTCCCCAGCTCCTCCAGATGGCAAATGCTCGGGAACCGCTTGGAGGAGGCATCCCAGAGCCTGCCCTTCTGAGGACCCACGCCACTGAAAGTGAAGCAGGAGCAGGACTGAGTGCTTCCTGGGGCCTTTTAGTGCTCTGAGTACTGCGGGACTAGAGAAGGCCTTGCTCTCCAGAAGTTCCTCTCTTCTGTCTGGGCCCCTACCCGCTACAAAATGAACTCATTCGTCCTCAGTGGAAATGGGCACAGTCCTCCACTACCTCGGCATGCTAACCTTTTGGGGGGAGGTCACTGGGGCCTCAGCCTTATCATGTTTTCCTTATCTTCCATATTTTGAAGAAGGAAGCGCCCAACTGGGGAAGTGGACTTCTTACATGAGGAAGATCACTTAAACAGAGGAGAGGACAACCACAGAGACCATGCGGGCTTCTTAAGAGACATTAGGGCCCAGGCACACAGCAGGCCAAGCACTGCAGGAGATGGAACTGAGGAGACACTTGCTGTCCTGGCTGGGGTAGGGGTGCAGTGATGAGGGGGCCATGTCCTCCTGGTCCTCGAATTCCCTGCACAGACCCAAGGATGGGGTTGCAGCATTGCCTCCAGCTCCCGCAGTGCCCATTTAGCCATGGCATCCTCCTGGTAATCAGCCGCCAGCCTGCCCGCTCCCAGGCCCATCTCCTGCTCCTGCATCCATCCTCTAGGTTCTGGTGTTTTCTTCTTCTTCTTCTTCTTTTTTTTTTTTTTTTTTTTTTTTTGCGGAACCGGGGATTGAACTCAGGCCCTAGTGCTTGCCAGGCAAGCGCTTAATCTATTGAGCCATCTCCCCGACCCCTCTGGTGTTTTCTTCTAAAGTGACAAACTGCAAGGCTTCTGCCCCATTGCATTGCACCTCAGAACATGTTTCTTGCTTGCAAACAAGGCTGCGGTGATGGCTCAGGAGGCATGGGCACAGGGCACAGGCTTTATAGTCAAGCCTGGGGTTGAGGACCCCGGGGTTGATGGTCGGGCTCCTTCTGAGCCTCCGTTCTTACACGCCTTAACCCTACCTCTCAGGGGTGCTACAAGGCATAGAGCTTCTGAGGAGCAGCTGTTATGCCACCCACACATAGGAGAAGGTGAAAAAATGTTCAGTCCCCCCTCTCTCTAGAAGACCCTGGCTGCTGCACTCTGAAACCCTGTCTGCTTTGAGATGCTGTTCCCCGCTGAGGTCTGGCCCAGTCTTCTCTGTTCTGTAGACAGCAAGTCCAACAGAAACCTTGGTGCACTCTTCCTCCTAGAGGTTTGGGCACAAGCTCAGCTCGCCTACTAGTATCCTGCCTCTGCTCTGACACCATGGCCCTGCCTCTGCTGCTTCTCTGGGAGCTGCTGTCTGGCTCCAGCCTCTTCTCTCTCTCTGTCTCGCCACTCAGACCCCCACCACAAACCAGTCCCTCCTGTCTCTCCCTTTCCAAGGTTGGTTCCCCAGGCCTAGCCTCTGTGGAAGGGACAGAGTAAGCTCTGGCTACTCACAGCATTGACAGCCAGGTCCCCGCGGATTTCTGCTGGTGTGATCTCATGGAGCAGAGCAGCCCCTGCTACAGCCCCCAGAAGCTGGGCAGCCACGTAGAAGACGGCTCGGAGGAAGGAGACGTGGCATCCCACCAGGCAGGCCACAGTCACGGCGGGGTTGATATGAGCCCCGCTGACATGGCCGAGAGCCTGCACTAGGGTGCCAATGCCCAGGCCAAAAGCCATGGCGATCTGCAACACAGAGGGCAGGGCCTGTGGCCAGTTGAGAGCTGAGCCAAGGCCAAAGAAGACGAAGAGGAGTGTGGCCAGGAACTCTGCCAACACGGCTCTGGAGAAGGCTATGGACCGGAGCTCCCACATGCTGTGGAGCCTTCAGCAGGCTGGCCTGGCGGCCTGGGGCCAGGAGGCTTGTGCTGTGCTCTCTCTCTCTTTCTCTCTCTGTCTTTCTCTGGGCCTCTGGGAGGCTGGGCCATGGGCACTTATAGGGTCCCTCCATCCTGGATTTGGGCACGTGGGGATAGGGGTGGAGTTTAGGCCCATACCTCTTCATCCCCATGGCTGCCTCTGCCCCTGCCCCTCACCCCTGCCCACTCGCATGCCTATCACCCCATCTGGGCCTTCACAGCTGACTAATGTTCCCCATTAATGAGCTCCAGATAAGAATTGACGTCCCCTATTTTCCGTGTTTGTTCCCTCAGTTACCCTAGAGCTGCTGCCCAGGGCTTCCCCACCCCCATCTGCAAACGCAAATCCCCCTAGAAAGAAGTGCACTTGATGCCCCTCTCTCTGACCCCAACTATTGGTCTAAGTGGGGGCAAGACCTCTCTCAAAACCAACCATTAGAGACGATGTTGCCCACCCCTCTAGTGACTGGGAAGTTCTCTCCGCTGTCTGACCTCCAATTAATTCTTTCTTGAAGGGGATGGAAAACAACAGATTGGCGTGTACCGAATTTCTAAGGCATAAAGCCTTCTCGTTTCACGCTTACTTTCTCGCAGTTAATTGCCCGTAAGTCATTAAGCTTCCACTACTCCCTGGGACCCCAGCTGGAAGTAATTCCCCCAGCCTTGGGGCAGGGGTGGCTGCAGTGGCAGTGGGACCCTGGCCCTGGGAAGTTGAGTCACCCTGGTGGAAGTTGAGAAAACTGAAGGCTTCCCCTCCCTGTTCCAGCTCTGAGACTACCTTTCTTGTCTCCCTCTGCAAAATGGCAATAATAAAACCTAGGTAATTGATTGGGGTTTGGGTTAAACTGATCATAGTTGCAAAGCCTTCAGGGCAGCTTCTGGCCCGCAGTCCTGCCAGGTATCACACAGCATCCTCTGTGCTGGTAGTGAGAGAATGGGACCCCAAACTCACATGTTGGGGTTCCAGAAGCTGTGACAGGCTCTAGGCATGACTAGGAGCTCGAAGCCTTTCAGGCCACAGTGGGGAGTCATTTTTTATGAGGCAGTGAGCTGTGCAGGCCTGGAGGGCCTCGATGCCTGATAAGAGACTCTGGTCTTGGTGCCCACTCACCCCAGCCACTGTTTGGCAAGGCCACCCCTGGTGTGGCCTCTCTTCCCTATGCCTTCCAGCCTTGCCCTGTTTGGGGGAACTCAGTAGGGTCAGAGGCTTTTGACCTGCTGGCCAGTAGGTTCCTGGGAAATTTACAGTACCAGAAATGAAAATCTGGGAGGGACTGGAGACCGTAGGGTGGAACACCTTGGGTTGAGCTGTAGGGAAGAAATTGAAGGCCAGGGAGGGTCTTATCCAAGCAGTCCAGTAAGTTGGGGGCAGAGCTGGTACTGGGCCTTGGTTTGGAGAGCTTCTAGCACCCTCCACTGAAGCCTCAGTTTCCTCATCTGATCGATGGTAGCACTGACGCCCTTCCTGCCCAGTTGTCTCGGAAATGCAGTAAGATCATGAAAGGGGAAAACGTTTTGCAACTGAAAATGTATCCCACACTCCTATGTATTCTGGGGCCTGCAGGTCCTTGTAATAAGAAGGAGAAAGAGGAGTAGGAGAGGAAGGAAGAAATAACAACACATGATCCTAACGGAAGGGAACTCCAAATGACAAGGACTCTTGGGGTCTGTGTGCCTGGGACAGGGCCTGGCGTGTAGGCAGCTGTTACTCTGGCCCTCTGCCCTGAGCTGTCCTTTCCCGACCTGAGTCACTCAAGCTGCTCAAGGAAGAGATACATCTGGGGCCCACCTCTACATATACTCCACACAGAATGAGGATCCAGGGACAAAAATCCAGGTGGTCGGCCTGGCTGGGCCTGTCCGCACCCAGGGAATTTGCCTCTTCACTGTCTCCATTCAAGGCTTCGTGTATCACTTCTGACTCTTGCTAAATTATAGCCTGAGCCGCTATGCTCCCTGGGAAACCCTTGCCCAGGCCTAATGGGAGCTAAAATTGTAGCATTTGTTTTTAAACCCCCTGAGCTGCTGTGTGCCTATGGATGAACCACACACTCTTTCTGGCCAAGGTGTTCATGATCTTGAAGAGTGGCTCACTGCCCCTTGACTCTGAGCAGGGCTGCTTCTAGCCCACTCAGCTGTCTTGATAAACCCACCTTCGCTTTGTAGCCCATGAATCCCAACCCAAGTTTGTGTGTGTTTATGGTGTGTGTGTGTGTGTCCCTTCAGTCACATAATTATATATTTGGAACCACGTATGTGTAGCTCAATGCTTGGCTACTCCTGAATCCCTGGCTTCTATCCTTAGCACGACAATAAACAAAAAAACCTGATAGGGTCTCACTTGACAGGCCAGGACGTGAAGTCTGAGGGAGGTGATCTCCATGGTTCCACAGCACATTCAGGCCACTCAGATCTGGCTTCAAGCCCAGAGATGGGGGAGGGCCTGGACATGACCAGGCCCTGCTGCACTTTGCCCTCAGCTCTGTCAGTGCTGGGGAGGAAGAAACTGCCCGGGTCACATCACACGGGGAGCCTCCTGCTGCGGCTCTGGGTGGGCAGCAGAACTCCCCTGAGGGGATGGCTACATTTTGTCTACAATGACCAGAAGTCTAAGGAGGCAACTACCCATCTATCATGCACTATTACTAATTAGAATATGATAAAAATGCCTTCCTGGGAAGGGATTTACCCCAATGTGAATTACCTAATACCAATGAATTGTGCATTTTAAAATAATGAAGAGGGCTGGGAATGGTGACAACACCTTAATCTCAGCTACTCTGGAGGCTGAGGCAGGAGGATTACGAGTTGGAGGCCAGCTTGGATAAGTTAGTGGGAGCCTATATCAAAATAAAGTAAAAAGGGCTGTGGGTATAACTCAGTGGTAGACCACGTGCCTAGCATGTACAAGGCCCTGGGTTCAATCTCCAGTACCACACACATGCGCGCGCACACACACACACATGCAAATAAAGAAATAAAGTATTAAGAAGGCACATTTTTATGTTATGTGTATTTGGGCACAATTTAAAAATTAATTTTTTAAAAGTCAGAGAAGGAAGATGACCAAGAGGGCATAAGCTTTCTTACCAGTCAGCATTTTAAAAACATTTGTCAAACACTCTTATAGATTTTCTAAGGTATCTTTTTCAAGTCAAAGTGAAGCATATGCATAAAAATGAAGTCATAGGCCAAACAAATTGACCAAAATTGTCCCAAAATTTCTTTTTTCCAAAATTTCTTCCCATTGAGAATCTCACTGTCTGAACCCCTTTTTGACCCAGCTGTTAACCTACTAAGACTTCTGTACCATCCGGAACACTGGTGATATGCCATTTCTTAAAAGATTGCTGTTCTTTCTAGATTCCTTTCCAAGTCCTAGATACTGGAAGTTTTTCAGAAAGGGTTTTCTTTCTTCCTGCGTGACCAGAGATCATTTCACCCTTTGCTCAGTAATAAAAAAAAGCACAACGCAGCTTCATCTCCTTGGCTCTTCCTTTCCTGGGTCTCATAAACACTTGGCTATTGTTTTGCAAGAAAGTAAAGAATTGTGGTCATTCTTTGATGATCACTGTTTGCTTCACTAATATCAAATTCTTGCTATGTTCCTCTGTTTCCACGCCTTTCTGGATACATAATAGCTTTGTGTAAGAGCTAAACCGCAGTGTAACCTTTTTGAAAACATTTTCAATGGCAATTAAACTGAACCTATACAGGAAAGAGAAGGAGCTTGGCACCCTCCTGACTAAGCTGAGGTTTGTACAGGAAATGACAACCATTCCCAGCTGTAGGTGCCACAAGAGGAAAAGAAGTCGCCATGAGAAAACAAGGGGCACCTAAGGACTGACGTAACGTGACAGCTGTTCTACTAAACGTGTCCAGCACCACTGTGTATACTGTTCTAGGCGCCTTTTCTTTCAGTGCTGGGGACTGGCCCTGGGGTCTTCACACTGAACTACAGCTTCAGCCCTTCTTAGTATTTTAAGTTTTGACACAAGGTCTCACTAAGTTGCTGTGTTGCCCAGGCGAGGCTCACACTAACGATGTTCCTGCCAGCCCCTCAGATTCTCACTGCTAGCAGGGCGTGGAGGCACTGCCTGACCTCAGTACTCTGAGGGGCTCAGGCAGGAGGATTGTAAGTTTGAGCCCATGTTGGGTAAGACTTAGTGAGACCTTATCTCAAAATTTAAAGAAGTAGCCAGGTATGGTGGTGCACTATAATCCCAGCACTCAGAAGGCTGAGGCAGTAGGATCCTTGTGAGTTTGAGGCTATCCTGGGCTACATAGTGAGTTCAAGGCCAGCCTGCACTATAAAGTGAGACCCTGTCTCAAAACAAAACAAAATAAAACATGCTGGGGGGAGGTACTGGGGATGTAGCTCAATGTCAAGAGCCTGGGTTCAGTCCCCAGTACCACCAAAAACAAAAGCAAAACAAAACAAAAAACTGCATTGTCATCCTGTATACTGAAAAGTTATCATCCCAGTCTTTTGCTTGTTTTGTACCAGGAATCAAACTCACAACCTCACACTTGCCAGGCGGGTGCCGTGCCTGCTGAGCTATGGCCCCAGTCATCTCAGTTTTTAAAGGAAGATGAGGCAAAAAATGTTAAGTAACTTTCCTGAGGTCAGCTCACTCGTAAGTGGGAAGGCAGAATTGGAACCCCAGTTGCATAGCTTCAAGTTGACATTTTTGATTGTGAAAACGAATTCCAACCTCACTTCTCAAAATAAGAAAGAAATAATTAAGACACTAGTGAGAAAGACAGCCAACTGTCTTTGAATAATAAATAAATTAGGATGCTGGTGCCTTGAAAGAAGGAACTGGTACCCTGCAAGGGGGAGTCAGGAGCTGTCTGTGGAGCTGGGCCCCATGAGTGAATTCACAGTTGACATGGGGTGGGTTTCTCCTCCTGCTCTGATCTAAGATGCAGATGCCCTCCATTTTCCCTAAGGGGTTGGTGAAAGTGGGCCACAAGCCACAACCTGTAAGGGAGGGAAAAGGGAGAAAGGTCTGGCAGAGCCACAGTAGGGGCGGAGCAGGGCAGAATGAGCACAGAGGAGAGGTGCGGGTGGGTACCCGGGATTCCTGTGCACCATTTCATCTGAATTTCAGATGAACAGCCAACGATTTTTAAAGCAAGCTCTAAGCAATATTTAGGATATACGTGTCCCTACCTTTCAAATGTATGTGCGTCTTTGTGGGCCCAAATAGAACCTACATGGTAAATCACAGAGGCTTTTAAGGGTCTTGTGAGGGAAGAATTGGAAGTGTGAGGTGAAGCAGGTCCTTGAATCAGGCCTTGGATACTTGGGTCTCTACTGAACTTTTTTTTTTTTTTTTTTAAGAGAAACAAAAATAGGGCCAGCTCAGTGGCTTAAGTGCCTTCCTGGCAAGTACAAAGTCCTGAGTTTGATCCCCAGTACCAGAGGGGGGAAAAAATTAAAACAAGATAATAGAAGGGCAACAATAGTTAATACATATTGTATAATGTTATGTTTAAATTAGTTACTCAGAATACAAGATATTGGAATTTAATTGTCTAAACAATATTAGCACAAACCTTTCTTTTCATTGAACTAAGAGAAA